ATATATATATATATATATATGTATACTCGATCCGAATGCGAACAGAACTTTTTGCAATACTAACATTTAAGTGATCCTGCTTCAATTAAAAATTGTAACAGGAGGTAAAATTTTTTTAAATTATAGACATAATAAAAATAATGAATTTCCGGTGTAATAGACAATTAAGATAAAAAATTCTGTTTATATAAATACATTATTAATAATCATTGACATATTCAATTTGTAACTGGTATTAAATACTTAACTCGGGTTAATTACTCCAAATAATTAAAAACGACAAAAGTCGTTCATGTTATTTTTTTTAAACATGTAATAATCTTTATACCATATTTATCATGAAAACAATGATTTTTCTAGATGGTTCTTGCAAATTTTTTGAATCTATATCTAACAAAAATCCAACATGATTTCTTTCTTACTTCCGTTTAATATATTCTTTGTTTAAATTTAAAGTACGTCAACATTAAATTTTCACATGAAACATGAAAAAGAATCGGGTGAAACAACTTAACGTTGGTACATTACAGAATGATTTTTCAATAAAGCCTTACGGATTTTGCTGCAATATTAAAGACTATGATCCAAGATTATTCGTATCGAAAGAGTCTGAGCCACTTTTCCTTTCAAACGATCCAACCGAAGGAGGACCTAATATTAAATTCCGCATTCAAGAACATAACGATATTGAATCTTCCAGTCAACGAAGTACTCAAAGAAATGCTCAACGAAGTGGACTTCGAACTAGATATCGAAGTCGAAGTGGCCAACAAGTTATTTGGAGCGATCAAACGTATGGTCGCCGTAGACAACGAATTCCCTTTACTTCAAGAGCCCCTACCGCCAAAAAAGATAAAATTATTGAACCTTCAGTTGAACTAATGATATGTAAACGATGTAGGGGACCACTTCGATGGTATTTAGAAGATGAAATAGCAGCTGCTCGTGACATTATAATGAAAAAAAAGCAAGAAATATACAATGCAGAAATGGAAAAAAATATCAAACTTGCTAAGAAAAAGGGTAATTCATCTTAATCATACAAGTGTATTATTGCAATTAAGTTTCTATATAATTATTTTTAAATATAGAAACACTAAAATAAGATGGTCAATTTATTCTTATTTCTTTTTAAATTAATGTAAAGAATACAATAAATTTATTGATAATAAATCTTTAGTAAGATTAGATAATAAAAATTTAGTCATTCATTTCTTTTTTACATAAAAAAACCTATTATCGTTAGAATTATTAAAGTGTTTTAACATTGAAGAAAATTTTAATATATTATTATACAATTTTTATATTTATTTATATTATTATCATTTGATTTTAGTAAATTAAATCTTAAAAGCAATTTTGTTTCTTATATATATGTCACTCATAAAACATTTTATATAACATTATAACTTAAAAAATATTAAAGCATGAATTTCTATAAAATAGAAAAGAGAAGACGACAAAGGAAGAAAAAAAAGTTTAGCAAATATGAAGATAAACTCAAAGACACGCCTAAAGAAGATATACGTTACGATGAATCGAAAAATATAACATAAAATATTTAAAAAAAAAAAAGAATTTAATAAAATATCGCTCTCAAAGATCAAAAAATTTTTATCCGAAATATTTTATCAATTTGTTTTTTTTTTTGTATTAGTATTAATATTACATTCTGTTAAAATAATAAACATCTTTATAATTGTATTAGAAAATATATTTTATTATAATAGAAATGATTACATAATCTCATGTATGGTAAAGAATGTAAATATGCATAAGACGGTAAATATGCATAAATTATTAATTTCTTTTAATGCTCTAGTAATTTTCAAAATTCAAAATCACAAATATATGTGTGTGTGTCTGTGTGTGTGTGTGTGTATATAAATAAAAAATAAATGAAATGATTATTTTAGTGATTATTTCAATTAAATTTTTTTTTTCGTTCATTTCACTACACTTGTATTAATTAAAATTGTTATAAAGTAGTATATATATATACACTTATATACATACATTGCTTATATATATATATATATATATATATATATACATATATACTACTTTATGAGCAGGTTTATTAAAATTTAAGATGCAGAAGATATAAGTTAAATCTCATCTTCTGTATTTTCTATTTCTTAAATGCTAACATGTATTGATTGAATGTATATACGATTTTTTGAATACAGTATAAAAGTAATATTTAGATTATATATAAACGCCACTTTATTGCAAGAAATTATTTATAGAAAAGACATTGTTATCAGTATCATATTATAATATATACTTATGTATCACTATCAAATATATTAATGATATCACTTGTAAAGGCATTTGATGTTATTATTAAACATTTAATTTAAAAAATCATACTTTGTCAGAAAAAATTATCAGCATATACATGAATGAAATAATTAATTAGAATTTGGCTTTTTTGTTTTTTTGTGAAGTAACTTTATAAACGCATACTACTATATTATTGAGAAAAATAGAAACTAAATTATTATTGCAATAACATTTCCATAACCTATTTATTTTTTATCAACATTAATATTGTAATATTATTTTATATTATGTTCATAACTATTTAAAAAAATGAGGAACTTTATATAACAGTTTAATAATTATTATTTATTTGTTTCAATAAAAACTAAATCTATAAACAATAAATTTAATTTTTTATGAAAAAAATGTCTGGAAAAACAGTAAATTTTGAATTTTACTTTTTTATCATAAATTTATTATAATCTTATTTTTTTAAGTTTATAATTAGTACCTTGATGATAGCAATAGTAATACATTTACACCATTTTTGTTTAAGTTCTAATAATTTTAATTATAATTTTTTAAAATCAATATGTATGATAATTTAATTATTAATATGAAAAATATATTTTAAAGTAAAACTCAATTTTTTATTAAATTCATTATATTCATTACAAAATTTGTACTTAATTAACATAATTAAATTGAAAGTAAGGCAATTATATAAGTAAAAATTAAATATAAAGATTACATAAATATCTATTGATTGAAAATCTAATTTAGAATGAGTATTTTAAAGTATATAAATTTATATAATTTTGACAAATTACATTAAAATTATATATGAACTTTTAAATATTTGGTAACTATATATATTTAATTAATATAACTAAATATATTTTCGAGATTCTATTGACCTGTTTTTTATTTTATGTTAGAATATGTTATATTGAAACAGAAAAGTAATTTTAAATTATTATATATTAAGTATCTTTTACTATTTTTTTGGCAAAGCACTACAAAATTATACTGTAATTAAAAAGCAATGTATTGTAATTATTGTAACAATATTCCATTATCGCTTTTTATAAAAGTAATTTATTTCATAATATAAAAAAATTTAATATAATCAAGCAATACAAATTATTGTTTTTAATTATGTAATAAAAAATAAAAATAAAAATGTTTTAATTCTTTTTATATTTAAAGCTGCAATATATATTTAGGAATGTTATCCCATCTTTACTGAAAGATTTTTTTTTAACATAAAAGCACATTTTAATATTGTTCTCTGTGCATTCCTAATAAATTTATATAAAGACCGTGTTTGAATGTTATCTGTTATATTGACTGTTATATTTCGTTAAAATATTCACATGGACAAACAGTATTAAATTAAATACAGATCCCTTTAAAAAAAAAAGTGACGTTTTGAAATAATAATTTTAATGCCGTTTACAGATAACATTCAAACACAAAATCAGTTTTTATATAAATTTATTAGGAATGCACAGAGAACAATATTAAAATGTGTTTTTATTTTAAAAACACAAAATCAGTCTTTATATATAATTATTCTGATGTAGAAGCAAGCTGTAAAGAATTTTCTACATTATCGCTTCTTTTACCTTCTTCATAAACTGTCACTGTAATTACTGGATTATCATTTTTTTTATCAGTATCTTTAGATTCGTTGCTTGTTATTTCAGAACAACTTTTAGGATCCGTTACATCAGCATTTACTTCATTAGTATCTTGTGTAATACAGTCTTTATCATATTCTTTGTTTTCATCAGTATTTGATTCATATATTTCCATTTCATCCATATCTTGTTTTTTTGTAAGATCTTCTAACTCATTTTTAATATCTGGAGAGTCTAAAATTGTATTCAATGGTATCTCTTCTGTTGTACTTAATGAAACTTTTTCATTTACATTTTCTACTTCATTTTTTATTTCACCTTTTTCTGTATCTATTTCTTGCATTTCATTTTCGTAATTATACGACTTAGTTTCAACTTCAATTTCCAACTGTTTAAAATTTTCTGCTACTTCTTTTATTGTGATTGATAAAATTTCTTCGTTCACATCCTTTATTTCAGCATGTATTTTATTTTTTTCCGTATTAATTTTAATATCTTTCATTTCATTATTTTGTTCTGTATCAACTTCAATATCTTTCACTTCATTTTTATTTTTTTTCGTATCAATTTCAATATTTTGTATTTTATTTTTATCACTGCATGACTCTTCAACTTGTATTCTCGATTCTTCAAAATTATCTGCTGCCTCTTTTCTTGTAGTCGAAATTTTTTCATCCACATCTTTTATTTCAGTATGTGTTTTATTATCTCCTGTATCAATTTCAGTATCTTTTATTTCATTCTTATCACTAAATGTCTTTATTTCATTTTGTGTTTTTAATTCATTAAAACTTCCAATTGTTTCGTCACTGTTATTTTTGTCACACATTTCAATAGTGTGATTATGGCTATTGAAAGTATTATCTTCGTCTTCTTCTTCTTGTTCTTCCACTTTCATATTTTGAACTATTTCATCTACAGTAAGTTCTACAACATAATTAGTATCCAGATATGAATTATCTGTGTTTTCTTTTATTTCTTGATTTTGATTTTCAGTATATTCCTTAAATCTGTTCATATCTTCGTCTTGTTCTTCTTTCTTGATTTCATTTATTTTTGTTTCATCTGTTTCTTCTGCTTCTACATTACTTTTATCATTATACAGATTTTCTTGTTCTGTTACAGCATCTTCGAATATATTTTCCATTAAAATATCAACAACATCTTTTCCGTTAAAAATTAATTTAACATAAACAGGGTCACTAGTATCATCAAGAATCTCAAACTGAAACATTGTTTCTTCGGTAGCAACTTCTTTGAATAATTTGCAAGCATCCAAAGGCCAAAAATTTATACTATCTGGTTTTCGTAAAGCACAACATTTCGCTAAAGGAGGAATATTTATAATATCTATTGGTAACATTCGTGTATCATTTGTAATTTCTGTATTGCCATAATCTATATACAGAACTTCAGTACCTTCTTCAGAATGTGAAAGAATTTTTGCTCTATACCATTGATCATCTTCTGAATAATTTACAGCACAAATAGTACCAATTTCAAATGTACTTAATGGAAGAAAACTAGGTGCTGCTTCTAATCTTTCTAACATTGTATCTAAATCTGTTTCGCTAGTTTCTGTTTGAATCCAGAATTCATCAGGTGAATTGATACGACTAACAAATACATTTGGTGAATTTTCTTCACCCAAAGGAGGTAATCGTTCTTCTATGATTGGTAGGTAACGTTCACAGAAGTTTGCAAGTATATCTGTCACATTTTTACCATCTAATGTTAATTTCACCAACGAGGTTTCACCTTCTTCAATTACATCTAACAAAAATATAGTTGCTCCATCAGCCGCTAATGTTATAAATTCTTGACAAGCCTTTTCTGACCATTCTGTAATTTCTTCTGGCATAACTAAGCGACATTTTCTCGATAGAGGAGGTATATCTGCAAGATCTGGCGGTATAGCACGTATTTCGGTTGAGGTAGCTGAATTTCCATAATCAATATATATAACTTGTATAGCATTATCACTGTGTGATATAACGCGTGCCCTATACCAACATTCATCTTCAGGATATTTAGCAACACATAATAAATTTTCTTTAATTTCATCTACTTTGGGAAACATATGTGCCACGATAAATCTATCAGTCATAATTTCTAAATCACCGACAGATTTTTCTTCTTGAACCCAAAACTCATTTGGATAGTTAATATGGCTTACAAAAGCAGAATAGGGATCCAATTCAATATCAATTATTTCATCTATTAATTCTTCCTCAGTATGAATCTTTACTGCATGATAGTTTTCAACTAATGTTTCACTAACACTTTTATCATCTATTAACAAGTCTACTCGTTTTGGAACACTGTTTGCTATTACCAGGGCTTGTAAAGATTTAGATGTTATTAAGTTTTCAAATTTAGATGTTATTAAGTTTTCAAATTTTTGACATATTGTGATATTCCAATCTTCTGAGTCTACAGGAATAACATCTAATCTGCATTTAACTGCATATTCTTTTATTTCTTTCCATGAATCTGGTATTTGTCGAATATTTCCAGATTTATTGTCGATGACATCTGTATTTCCATAATCGATAAATCGAACAGTTGTAATATCTTCATCAGCATCAAGTACCTGCGCCCTATACCATAAATTATCTATAGTGTACACAGCAACACACAAACTTCCTTCTTCCAATATTCCATCTATTTCTAAAAATGTAGATACTTGATCTTGAAGTTCATTTTGTTTATTAAAAAGATCTGTGGCATCATCTGCATGTTGAAGCCAGAACTGACTAGGTGAATCTATGTGAGATACAGATACATTATATTTACAACCCACTGTCATATTATGAATTTGAGATTCTCTCATTCCAGATATCTTCTGTTGTAATATTGAATTAAGAGAACGGAACCTATCGCTAATTTTTTCTCCACCATATAATATTTCTACTATCCATTTTTTGTCGATATTATGGAAAACGGCGGTAAGATCTTTGTTATATAAATAACTTTGTAATATATCTAATTGTTCAACTATTGTACCATTGAGCACTACCGGTAATGATACATTAATAGCTAACTGATGCGGTGTATGAAAGTCTGGAGCTAATTGTCTTAATATGTCACCATTAACTTTTTCATTATAGCCATAATCAATGAAATTTATATAAGCTTCAGTTTCAGTATATTTTAAGATCTTAACTCGATACCAGTGACCATCCACGGCTTTAACTACGCATAAAACACCCGCTTTCGGGTGCAATAACTTTTGATTCCAATAATTTTTGGAATTAGAATAATACTGATCAAGCGCTTCTATTAAATGCTTCTCTAAAGTATGTTCTGCATTATGTTTTAACCAGATACTAGCAGAATGATCTGCATATGATACTGATACTTTATGAGTAGAACTTAGAATAAGCATTGGACATATTGGCGATATTTTTTCATGGAAATCGCCGACAGTATTTATTTCCAGACCATCTGATGAGCGAAATAATTTTACAATAAGTCTGCAAAAATAAAAATAAAAAAAGAAAATTAATAAAATTATATAATTAAGCTAATTGACCATATTGTAATACTAGTCAATTAAGTGAACCTTAATTAAGTAATTAAGTAAATAGTTTCTCTAAATAAAAATTTTACAGAACCATTAGTATTAGTAGTATTTAATAACACATCAATCATTTATTAATACAAACTTTGACTGAAAATACAAAAAATTTCATTTTCACTTATTGAAGTAGTATTATATCATGGTACTTTTTACATTCACATTATTAATTTCTTTGAATTTTAGCAAAATATCAAACAAAAGTATATTCTATTCATTACTAGAAGAATATTTGAATAACAATTTATAAAAAACTGAAAATTAAATTTACCTATTATTGTCAACTTCATCCACATATATAATTGCTTCTTCTCCCACAAGATATTCTATTGATGAATAATCTGTCTTGTTTAGAAGGGTACATTCAATTGCTTGGTTTTGCATTACTGAAAGTTCTCCTGGTAAAGCTAGCACCTAAATTAATTAGTTATATTAATAACTGAAAATTTTTATTAAATAAGAATGAAGTAAAAGCAAATAAGGACATTTTAGTAAGTAATATATTGTATTAAATCATTTAAATAATTAAGTACTTTGTACTCAAGCAATACAATATTAATTTAGATTTGTGTTTAAGAAAATAATAATCTCTTAACATCAATAAAAAGTATTTAATTCTACTAGAATTCTTTAATTCACTAAAATAAATTGAATCATTAATATTTTTCAATGCAGCAAGTATGGTATTAAGTAACTTCTACTCCTAGCAATATTATACTATCTATGCATAAATTGTCTAGCATTTAAATCATCTCACTTTTTTTTTCTTTAAAAAACTCACACTATTTGAGAAAATTTCATCACATGCTCCAGTATCAATGAATTTTACATAACAGCCTGTGGATTGTGAATGGCTACTGATTACTGCTCGTCTCCAAACTCCATTTGAACAAACCAAACAACCTGTGCCTAGGCATATCTCATGGATTGATAATCGTTGCATCACCTGCCATTGTCATACTTATCCTCAACCAATGTCGTAAATTTATTAAATTTATTTCATGTATATATGTATGTATAATAAAGTTCAATTTTACAAATTATTATAATGTTATTAGATTCATACTGCTTTTGGTCATTTTTAATAACAATAATTTTTAGACTAATTTTTTATAGAAACTAAAAATTTAAATTTAAATTATTCTTTAATTAATCTTATTTTGATTAGTATCAAAACACTGCAAATTTTTTAAATTATTAAATACATATATTCAATCTATAAGAAATATTATAGAACACAACATGCAATGTTAGATATAATAAAAAAAAAAATGACATTCTATTAATATAATAAATTTCAAATGTATTACATAATAAGTAGATTAATTATTTAATTAGAAATAAAAAATAATAATAAAAATATTTAAATATCTAAATATTTATTTCTGTAAAAGAATATAAAAATTTTAATGATAAGCAAAATGTCAGAAGATATAATAAAATTTCCTAAATAAATTTTAAATAAATTTTGTATTTTATATATTTTTTAAATTTGTTTCTCTTAAGTACTCTAAGAATAAATAATGAATATAATGAAATATTGTGATTACAATACAATACAAAACATGTAACTTACCTCTATTACTTTATAAAATATTTTATTCAGAACTTATATAATCAAAATGCAAAATGGCAGGGATTATCGTTTATGATAAATGTATAAAGTTATTAAATGCACTCAAAACATAATTTAATAGTAGAACGATACAGACACAGAAAATATTTTACTTTGATTAAGTTATTAATACCATACATCGTGCAATGAAATGCATGAGACATACATATAATTAGAATAATTAGAATAATGAAGATTAATATTGTATTACTATTTTGACTGCTTCATTTTTTTATAACTGTTAGTTGAAGAATTAGTATCATATTATTAAAGATATATAATAAAAAAAAGTAATTGCAACAGTAATTAAACTATTACAATTAATCAATTATTGTCATAAATGTTAATAATAATCATATATAAAATGTATCAATACATTTATAAATTTCAATTCACGCATTAAAATATTTTTAGATTATTTAATTAAATTATATTAATTATTAAACTATTATTTAAATTAATTAAACATTTAATATAATTTTATATAAAATAATATTTTCTATTTAAATAGTTTTTTACAATTTTTAATGTTTTGACTGAATTTAGAAAGATCATATTTTTTTACTGATAAATAGATAATGCCATATATAAATACAATTTGCATTAAATTTAATATTTCATAAATTAAATTTATTAAATGATAATTTTTATATATTAGCAATCTATATGCATCAAGAATAGAAATAAACCTATTCATTTTTATATTATACTATTTTATATTATAATATGTGTAATTGGACAGCACAATTACTGTACAAGATATTTTTATTTAATAATATAGTTAAATATATTTGTATATGTATGAAACGTACCTCAGGATTTTTGTCAGCCATATATGTATTAATTATATTTTCACATTTAATAGCTGAAGGTATTTGAATATAGAATTTTGATGCACTTAGATCAATACTTGAAATTTTTACTCTAAGTGTTTGTCCTTTTAAAAGATTTATATCCACTCTTTCTATATCACATGAAATTATTGGTGTTAAAGCATTATCTGGAAATGAAATAATACCATTATATAAAATTATTACCTAAATTTTATTAAAATATTTTATTAAATAATAATTTAAATTATTAAATAAATTCTTTCTCTATATGCATTTTTTTCCAAAAAACAAATTAAGATAAAATTATATTTTTTAATTTTTTAATAGACTAAAATTTTAAAATAGTAAATTCAATTATATATTAGTCAATTATTTTACATGATATTTGTATTATTAACATTCATATAGTATTTTATATATAAAATTATAAAGTATAATAAATTGTATTTTTATTAAATAAAATAAAACAATTATATTATCACATTTAAAAAACTATATTTAAAAAATTTATCACATTTAAAAAATTACATTTAAAAAACTATAAAAGAACTCATTTAGTATTTTTCAGTTAAAGTTCCTTTGTGTGCTTTTAAAAAAAATTAATTATTCAATATTTTTAAAAATTAAAAACAATTATTAAAAACAGTTATAAGTTACATAAAATTATCTCACCTTCAACGTTAACATTTATTTCAGTTTCTGAATTGAATGAAGCTAGATTTTGTTCAACTAACATGTTGGCTACATCTTTTCCATTAATAGTTAATGATATTAAGTGTTTATTATTTTTTATATTATGAAAAACACATTCATACTTTGCAGCATTAAAACAATTATCAATCGCTTCTGTATTTACTTTAGACCAATCTAAACCACTCAATGGAGCAATATTAAGTAACGAACACTGGAAAGCTTGTTTTGGAAGATGCATTAATTTTTTTTCTACTGGATAAATATTCTGAGGATCAACTATAGCACTATTTCCAAAATCTATATACTGAATAAGATGACCATTTAATTTATTTAATTCAATAACTTCTGCACGATAAAGAGCTCCATCGTCAGAGAATATTGCTATTACTGGAGATCCAACCTAAAAGTAATTATGAAAAGTTATTTATGATATATTTAGTGCATAGAAACTTATACATAATCATCTAAATCTACCTGTAATGTATGCGAAACCGGTTCTCTACCAACATATATCTTCTGAATTTCATTCATCATAGTTCTAAATTCATTTTCGTTATCGAGTATTTGACAATAAAAGTTATTGGGATTTATAAACCATGTAATAATCACATCTTTTCTAGTTTCAGGTGTATATGAAATTGTAGTCCACTTAGCATCCAAAGATATATAATCAGGTTTGTTAAATTGTATTGTATTAAAAGTAGTTATGTTAGAAATTATTTCTTCCTTTGCTTTTAATAAATCAATATCTTCACAAAATTCTTGATTTATAAAAGTATTTGTTGGATAATCATCAATAACTTCTTTTAATAAAATACTATATATACCATTTTCTTCTGTTACAAATTCCGCTTCTAATATTTTGCCAACAACTGCATTTTCAAAAATTTTTGTTTTGTCTGTGTCAAGATTATTATTCTTTATTCCAAATAGTTTACAATGCACAGCTTGTATTGGAAGTTCCAAAAATTCTTTCTGCATAGATTTAATTTTATTCAATTCAACTGTTTCCGTATTGCCATAATCTATAAATTGTATAATTGCGTTATTTCCTTCAGTTAAGGATTTGATCACAGCTCTATACCATTTTAAATCTGAATATTGAGCAATACAATATTTGCCACCTAATATATCAGACTCTTTTATTAACTCTCCACCAGTTTCATATATTGATGCAATATGTTCCATCATAGAATCTAAAGCACTATAATCAGTAAATTGTATAAAGAAGTCAGACGGACTATTTGTAAAAACTACTTCACAAGTTTTTATAGTTCCAATAGTTATGTTAGGACATGGAATATGAAATTTAGTTTTGCTTCTCATGGTATTATATTTTTGTTCTTCTTTACCAAAGACAAAATTGACGATATTTGACTAAAAATTGAAAAAATTTCATAATTTAATTAACAATTAATTAATCTTAGTTTTGTATTAAAAATTAAAATTTTATTAAATCTTTATTAAGCTTTTCATTTTCAAATATTTTTTAGATCATATTAGACTTTTATAAGGACAATACATATGATATTATTCATGTATTGTAATAAGTTTACTAAAAGAAAATTCTTATTAACATAATATTGATATTGAATACAAATATGATTTCTCAATTTACAATATAATAATTTCTCAAAAAGAGAAATAACAAAAACAAAACGAAACAAGAAATAATAATTCCTTAAAATTAATAAGACCATAAATAATGTTAAATATTGTTTAATTTCTAAACTATCAATAAAATGTGTTTAATAACATGTTCATAATACATAATTTGCACTTTATATATTAATACTAATTAATATTATAAGAATTTATAATAAAATATTATAATAAAATACCTGAAGAATTTATAATAAAATATCTTTAACCTTTTCACTACTGTACTAAACGCCTTTTGATGCTGCACTGACGCTATACTAATAGCGTCATAGTATAGTCTGACGCTATACTAATAGCGTCATAGTATAGTCTGACGCTATGTGTACTATTGGTCAGTATATTCACCCAACGACTGATGCTCATTGGGTACTACTGATGACTCAGTCAGTCAACATCTGATGCTTGCTGTATACTATAGGGAATTTTAGTCACCCAATAAAATTTTGCATTCATTCTTAACTTTGATAAAAATAAGCTCTAAAAGCTATAAAAATAAATTAGAATTGCTCTGTACTGTGATAGCACATTTGCGCAGGACCATCGTAGCGAAAAGATTAAATATTTTTGCCTTGTTTACATTCTGCATGTTAAATCAGAATATCGTTTACTATATTTCTTAATAATAAAAGATGCACAAATTTTAATTTTAAAATTATAATTTATAAGAAATTATAATTATAATTAAAAATAAATTATGCATTAAATTAAATTAACTAAATTTCAATTGATATTCATATTTGATAAATATTTTTTATTTTTTTGAGTATTATTTATCTGAGCATTATAAGCATTTGAACGTCATTTATACTTTAAAAATTAATCAATCTTATTTACATCACATTTAATTTTGAAAAATGAAACATACAAATATTAATACTAGTCTACTTTACCTTGTTTTGTGTTAACCTATATCCTTGTCCTTTTCTTTCTTTAATTTTATTGCCATGATAAGAATTACCTATTAATAATTGCATATTTTAAAAAAAAAATCAAATACAAAGGTATGTGTATAAACAAAATATTTTTTATAATCCTAAAAAAAAGACTTACTATTTGTTTCTCTTTTTCCACTTTTATAATTTCCTTCATTATTTCTATCATTAAATTTGTTACTTTGCGTTCTCCCAGAAATACTTTCATGCTTAGAATAACTACCACGATTGGCACTACTTTTTCCATGTTTGCCACTACCTTTAGATGATGTATCTGAATCTCTATCGCTCCAATTTTTATCACAAGAATGACTTTTAACTGATCCCCATATTTTATTTTTATTACTTTTAATACTTTTTCCACTTTTAAATGAGTCATTATAATCATGTTTATCATTCCATTTTGCATTCCAATTGTTACTTTCATTTGATTCATTTAATTCATTTTTCCAAGTTTTAAACTTACTCTTTTCTTGAACAGTACTATTATCATGCATTTGAGCCCATTTCAATTCCAATTGATTTTTTTTATGCCATTTATTTGTTTCTTCACTAAAATATAAATATCTTAGTTTAAAAAGTAAAAATAAATTAGCATGAAAAATATATTTATATCTTCCACGTACGTACAAATTTAAAAATAACTCATCAATTATTGTTATTTTTCCACAAGATATAAAAACAATAAATAAAAATATTATATTATTATATTCACATGATTATTAATTTAAATACTAAATTAAACACTAACAAAACTTTTAAAATGTAAAATGAGTTGATTTTTATAAGTAACTGTGAAAATAAAAAAATGTAAATCTAAAATGGAACATGAGATTTTAGTACTGAAAATTTTAATATATATATCATATAATTAATTCTCGTTTAGCCAAAGCGATCACTGTGATGTTCACACAACTATAAAATATTTATATAATATTATAAGCATTCTTAAATTTTTACTACTTTGTTTCAGAGATAGAAAATGTAGATACAAAATTTTGATATTGCTTGTCTGCATGTTGCTATTTATGATTAACTGTTCGCAGGTTAGGAAATTTGTTTATGATATATTAAATATAAAAGCGTTATAAATAAAATTGCATTCTTGCAAATCAAATAATCATAGATTTAAGAAAACAGAAACAATTAATTTAATTTAAATTCAAAATTAATATAAAATTATGTTTTTTCCTTTCAAAATAATTATTTAATGTATAAAAAATTCAACTGTTTTAAAGCTTTTCTTTAGCGTTATTAACTTTACCGTATTGCTTTTATATTTTTTTCGTTTTTCCATTGTTGAACCAAATTCATTGACAGTTTTATATAAGACCTGTGATGCAATAAATTGTCTTTTAATTTGAAATATATGTACAAAATGGATAAATTCTTATTTAGATTATAGATTATTAGTTATGTTAGATAATGGATTATTATAAACGAGTTGAATTATTATAAATAAAAAAAAAAATAGATACCTCTGATCAATTTTTGAAGTCATTTTAGTAGAGTATTGATTTTCTACATTTTGATAATTTAATGACTTTCTTATTACTTTCTCTTCATTTTCAATTAGATTCAACATTTGAGACTTAATATTCTTGTTCTCCTCGGGTTCATACAAATCTACCACTATGCCATCTAAAGTTACATCTACAACTCTTAAATGTAAATGTTTTTCCAAAGTCAACGATTCAAACTGATTCTGAATTTCTTCAGTACATGGAAGTAGTTCCCAACCATTTAAGGTGCATTTTATAGCTTGAGGTGGTAATTTTTTAACCAAGTCATCACGAATTAAACGAAGAGACATTAAAGTTACTATTTCTTCATTACCATAATCAACATATAAAACCCTTATATTATCTGCATTTATGTCTAGAATTTGTGCTCTATACCTAGTAATTATAAGAAAATATATTATATAAATATAACCATAACTAATATATTAATATGAATAGTTATATATACAACTCACCATTGATTATCATATAAAGCAGCACAAGGAAGACCAATCTTTAGCTGTGCTAAGCTTAAAGTGGGTGCAGTTGTACAAAAATCTGCTAAACTATTCATTATTAATTCAAGAGATGATGTATAGTTATCAATTTGTACAAAAAATTTTCTACATGATTCCACAAATGAAATGTAAACAATTTCTGTTGCACCTTTTGATAATTTTTTTGGTTCTTGATATGCAAAAGATGAATGTACAGATGTTACTACAGTTAGAGTTGGAGGAAATGCTTGTCTAAGAATGTCTTTTATATTTTTTCCATCATCATATAAATCTCCATATTGTACTAAAGGTGGTCCTTCTGGTGGGCGAACGTGTAAAACAAGTAGTTTTCCTGATACTATTTGTTTAAAATATTCTTTCATTTTATCCGTAACATTTAATTCATGTACACCACTTAATGTGAATCGAATAGAAAGCACTCTGGGATTGATAAAATGAGGTGGTAACTGAAAAATATCTGTGTATGGTAATATTTCTGTATGACCAAAATCAACATAGTAAAGTTTACACTTATTTTCCATAACAGACATTACAACAGCTCTACATAATACTTTATCTTGTGTGTAACGACCTAGACATACTGAACCAGGTAAAGGAGGTTCTTGTAATGGTTCGAGAGGATGACTATTAATTTCTCTCATGAGCATGCTTAATATCTGAGAAGTACTTTGAAGTTGTACAGAAAATTTATGCGGACCATCTTCTACAAATGAAACATATACATCATGTTTCGATGGAACATCCAAAACACGAGATTTAAATACAAGAGCTTCTTGAAGAGAAGATTGCATCATATGTTTTTGAGCTGCACAACATAAAGGAATATTACGTGGAAATCCATGCATTTCATTTCCATCATGGACTGGTGTCATTGCACAAGTATTATTAATAAGACATTTATTTTGTTGATATATTGGCACTTGAGATTGTTGTACGCATTTTGATCTATAAAAATGAGTTATAATAAAATTAATATTCATAATATTTGCTTAAAGTAAAAAGGATATTTTTGTGTTATTTTGGATTTCAATTAAAAATTTGATTTGTTAAATTAATAAATCAAATTATAAACATATTTGAAAATTAAAATTCATAGCAGTATCTCATAAACGCTATGAAAACTGATGTTCTAGTTTTAGAATTAAATAAAATACATAAAATATATAAATATGACAAATATGAAATTATAAATAATTACAAAACAAATTTAAAAACAAAATATTTTATTTTCTTTCGAATAAAGAAAAATATAAACATCAAAATAAAGTTAACTTGCTGAAAGATATCCACTCCATCTTGAATTTTGATGGGACTTTTTTTAATTTTCATTTTAATCATTTTGTTTTAACAGTGGAAAATATAAAAAAAAGATCGGTCTAATATTGTATTAAAATTTTTCTACTGATTTTATTGTAAGCATACACTGATATGAATGTACAATTATAAGCATATGTATATGAGCAAAATTCACTATAATAATATTGATAATCTTGCAAATATCTTTTATTTCTGCAAAAAAATAACGCTTATTTTCGACTTTGGCAATTCAAAATATATCAATGTGTAAATGATTTCGGGGAATATAAACTGCATTGACCCAAACCTAATTTTTATCTTACTATTAGTTAATGAAGTATCTTACAGTGAATTCCACTCATATGTTTATAATTGTACATTCATATCAGCATACACTTAAGAGTAAAATTAATACCAACCCGAATCTAATTTTTATATTTTTTATGTTTATAGTTGCTTGTTTGATTTTGTACATCATAATAAAGTGATTAGAAAAAATCTTGATATACTCTACAAAGAAAAGTAATTTATTCATAAATAATATTTGATGTTATCTTTTTAAATCAATACAATTCAACCAACCTTTCTTTTTATTTTTTCCATTATTTTTATGTTATAACAAAGCCAAAGTCCCATCAAAATCCAAAGTGGAATGAACTTTTGATACAAGTTAATCTAAAATAAATACCTAAACATTTCTTGTATCGTTGTTCTTATTGCCATGCGTCTTTTAACTAACAATTCACTGAAATCTTCATTGTTATACCAAAGTTTAATAAGACGATGGTTATTGACCACAGAATGAATTAAAATTTTATATTCATTGTACCATAGAGTCTTTTTGATTGATTCAATTATTTTGTTATCCCAAACATTATTTATAGGCAATACATGCATTAACGTAAAGTCAAATGCCACAGGTGGAAAAGATTGCAAGGACTCAGAGCCAGGTATATTTTCCAATAAATGTACTTCTTGTGGTGGTAATACTTCAATATTACCATAGTCAATAAACTGCAAAACCACCATACCATCAGCACGTATATTAATGATTTTTGCTCGATAGTATCCCTCATTTTGAAATCTAGCACAGCAAAGGGCATTTATGCGTAAATTGGCTAACTGAGGTCCAACGCAGCCTTGACTTCTAGCAAATTGTTCAACAAGAGGTAAAATCATACGTTCTACACATGTTGCAGAATTCTTATCAACTTGACCCCAGATTTTGAGAAATACATCCTCTGCTTCGACATGGGTCACAAATATAATCAAGTCTGTACTTTGTTGTATGTTCATTGTGTTATGTAATTTTTTTTTTATACGAAGTACTAATTTCTACTTGACTACATACATGAATTCGTAATCTGAAATATCAAATTTTTGTTGTTTATATCACAAAAATAAGTTTATTCAATGCTAATTGTCCGAAACTAGAACAGTTTAACCGTCACTTATCAAACACTACGATCAGATCATGCGACTATGATTTTTTTTTATTATTATGCACTTTTTTCCCCTTTTAATTACGATATTCTTATCTTTAATAACTATCGATATAAATAAATCTTTTAATTTCTGTCACATTGCAGCGAAAGATATCACGGGACTATTTTATACTTGATTAATGAAACTTATTTGACTTCTCATTCATTTGAACATAATGCAATAGATTTATAATAAAAACTTACATAAAACTTTTTGGCATATGCAACTCTTGCTTTGTTAACGTTAAATGTATACACTGCAGTTATCAGATGCAAATATGCATACCTATAACTGATATTCTTCATATGATACTGCGTACAAAAAAAAGTATGTCAACATTGCAACTAGATGTAACATAACCTTATGAATAGGATATCAAACACAATTGTTTTAAACTATTTCATTAGAAGTTAATAATCCAATAGTTTCTCAAAAGAATTACTCTTTTTCTTATAACGTCAGAATTTGACGGTTACCCGGCTTTTTATTACTCACATGGAAATTTCTTTGATCACAATTTTGACACGTAGATGGCGCGAAAATTTAATTTATATCCCATGAAGGATATATTGTATTTAATATTGACAAAAAAGATGTAAATAAAATTTAATTCAATATTTCTTTTATAAAACCAATATTTCTTTTATACATGTGTAATAGAATTTGATGAATATCTTAGTTAAAAATTTCGTTTTATTTTGCATATCAATGTATATCAATGTATATTTTTTTCATTTTTTAAATATATAAACTATAATGAATTAAAAACAATAAAAAGAAAATGTTTATATTTTTCATTACATCTTTAAGTATGTCATCAACAATTAATATTTCGTTATTAAACTAAAATTTTATCATATATAAGTAATATGTGCTAACAGCCATATATAATATACAACTATATAATATATGTATATACTTTAAATTCTTATAAGTGTTACAATATTTTTTTTTTGATATTCACATATATAACAAATACATGTGTATATAATTTTTTCATAAGATATATTTAATAAAAAATTAAATTCTTTTATTAAATATATCTATAATTTGAATAATTTTGCAACATCAAAATATTTTTTTTGAATAACATTATTTATTCCAGACAATAATTAATTATAACTATATCAGATAAACAAAATTCTCTTAATCTCTAAAAATGTTAATATTAATGTAGAAATTTAATTAAATTTAATCAAATTGATGTTGATTTAAATGTTAATGCATATATAAGGTATATAAATTAGAATATATTAAACATGTCATTGATATATAAATATTATATAGATAGATTATACAGATTAACATGATGTAGTAATTAAAAATTAAAATTCCAAATAGGATATTTAGTATGCTTAATATTAGCTAATATTAAAAAATACAAATCTTACTTTTATTTTTCTTAAGATTGATAAAAAAATTTTTTGCTTGTCGCGATTTTCGACACAATTGGTTTAAAAACGAAACACTGTTTTTATTTGAACATGTTAACAATAATATTTACGTATTTGATTATATTAGTCGATTCAGCAGTTTCGTAATCTATTCCTCTTGTGATGAGACTGTTGCACAGCGACGTGGCCCGCTAGGTGTTGAAATAACATTATAACAGAGAAAAGCAGTTAGAAAATTCATTAAATTT